ATGGCAATGTCGATCTTCGAACTCAGTGACCCCTTTGTTCACGTAACGGGTACGAGTCGCACCTCAGCGCCCCTCCTCCACGGTTATGGATCCTACCTCTTCTTGAACAGTTGTTATTCTCCGTCAGAAAGAGGCTCTCTCGAAATGTCAGCATTTTGGAAATGGAATCAGTGCACAAAGAACTGTGGAAGGTGGGAGGGTCTTCATTGATTAAACTCTTTGATAACAGACAAACCGGATGCCGACAGACCCCGGATGTTGGGATTTTTTCGCTTCTTTTCAATTCAAAATGGAACGGTTGCACCACTCAGCAACAACACACGTGTATACACGCATTCTAATATGGAAGTATTATGTGTTACTGTTCAATTAGACCTCATAAATGATCTTTAAATTGAAAGATTGTGACTACATTAAGCACAACAGTTAAATTCCTTCAATATCTGTCTATTTTAATTATTTACATTGTCATCTTTATTGTCCTATTCACCACGTTTCGGCCATTGTACGCTCCGGACTTCTTCAGATGATTGGAATTTATTTCGTCCACTGCAGTAGTCAAGTATTAAACTCACAAATCTTTGGATCAAATCACTAGATCCAACCAACGCTTTTATCCACTGGGTCATGTGTTCTTGAGGAGATCAGTGTATGAATTTTTGGGATGTCTCAGTAATCTTTTTTTACCAGAGCTCATATTGCTATTTTGTTGTTATTATTGCTTTCTCTATCACTCCGTATTATTGGTTCTCATATTGATTTCATTATTATGCTTGGCTGGCTTAGTCTATTTCTGTGGTCTATGCCAGACCACAGCGGTAAACAAAAACTAAAAGGGAGATAACTGAGACATCCGGAAGAAGCATGGCCTGTGGAATTAGAACAATTCCCCGTTGGAGGAAACAAAAGGTTCAGTTCGAAATTCAATCACACGAAAAAGGCCGGGGTGTAAAACGGCCGAAACTTTGTAAATATGGCAATAAAGATTTGTCGCCATATTTATTACAACGTTTCGGCCGTTGAACGCTCCGGCCAGTTTCGGACATATGAAGGAGACTTTCCGATCAATGGGTCAATTATATCTACAAGGAAGCGACTCAGAGAGTGGTACACAGAGCCCTAGCAACTAACAGTCGGCGTGAGCGAAATACCGTCTTTGTGAATCTTATGGAGACCGTAAATGCTGTAATAAATATGGCAAGATGAGGACAATAGTCCGAATAATGTAAATAGTGGAGATGTGGTTCTACAGAAGGATGCTAAGGATATCACGGACCGAGCATGTGAGCAACGATGAGGTCTTAGAGAGGTTACAAACAAGGAGAAGGCATGTTATGAGGAAGGAGGGAGAATCTGATACTCACGGGTTGAATAGAGGGAAAGAGAGACAATGAAAAAAAAACGCATGACATACCTAGCGGCCTTAAGCAAGTGGATGACAGAACGTGGTCTGGGGGAGGAAGCAGAGGGACAAAACTTATTGAGAACGGCAAGGGATAGAGGGAGATGGAGAGCCATGATCGCCTACATCCTGAAAGGACTTGGCACATAAAATGATAGAATGAACTACTAAGATTCATATAATCATTACTAGTTTCTAAAAGTATACGATTTATCAGTAATTGAATCTTACATCCATATGATCCTCGTCTACAGTCTTTTTGCTGTCGGAAAAAATTATTATTCTCCATGTAAATATGATCTTTTTGACAGTACTGTGAGTCATGTGACAGGCATTTAGTTTTTAGAGTTTGTTCTGTGTTCTTTTTAAGGCAGGAGCTATTATGATTATTGAATATAATAGCCGAATTCCAGCAACGTTTTGTTTTCTTTTGTTTGTTTGTTTAACGGCACATCAACATCCTTATGGGTCATTTAATGCTGGAATTTAATTTTCTTGTGAGTTTTTGAAGTAATAAAAATGACATTCAGCCTTCATAGTCGAATACACGGTTGGTGATACTCAGATTTTGTGCATATACAGTGTCACCCGGATATAAGAGAGTTGTCGGGACCGGAGAAGAAGTCTCTTATATCCGGGTTTCTCTTATATCCGGGTTTGGTCTATTTTGTTTAGGTAAGTATGGGCTCTAATTTGGGACCAGAGAAAATCTCTCTTATATCCGGGTTTCTCTTATATCCGGGTCTCTTATATCCGGCTTACACTGTACATGTTTGTGTAGACATAATTACTTGAGGTAATGTGTGTGTTTTATATTATAGTTTTGTTAAAGTTATATTTTGGAATACAGTTTGATTTCATTAAGAAATTGTCAGATATGATATGGATTAATGACATGAAAGAGTCCTTTCATGTTTTGTTTTTTTGTTTGGTTGGTTGATTTTGTTTAGCGGTATACAAAACTTTATGACTTATCTAATGCTGAAATCTAAATAGTATAACTTCAATTACATATAAAATATATTGTTGGCCATTTAACTAAAAATAGGTATTGTTGGCAATTTTTATTATAGAAAATGTATCACTAGTATTTTTAATATAAGAGTGTATTTGTATACTTTCATAGTGAATCGCTTTTGTTTGGTGGGGTCACTATTTGCCCCTAGCTGGAATCCTGACAGGTGCTGCCACCCCGGGTCAGAGAAGACCTGGAAACAACAGTAATTAAGAGGTGGTTCCACTCTTCTCAAAACCCCTAATCTCTCGAGCTGTCAGTAAAGTGATGCTCGATTACAAATATAGGAAGTCCAATATACTCATCATGACACTCAGTTTGATAAGCGTGTGTACTTTCTTTTTGAGCGGAATGGTTTGTATTTGGCCAATCCTTTTACAATTATATAAAGAAAAATCCCTGAAGATATTATTTCAGTAAAAAGTTATGCAATATCAATTGTGAACATACGTAAAATTCGTCCCATATTTTACCAAAATTAATTCAATAAAACTAGAAGTAAAATGTTATGATTTTTTAAAGAATTTTTGTTTGCATAATTAAATAAAACACGTTATTTTTTTTCTTCAGTTTGGACAGAAAAATGCAAATTTAAATATTTATTTAAAAATAAATCTTTCGTAATTTTTCAATGCGATTTTGAAATTCATTCCGTTTCTGTTCGTCACAAGTGTTTCATTTATTAAATAAAGAAATTTTTGAAGAATCAAAAAATGTTAAGCTTAATGCCATTTTCGAGTGTGAACCATTTTTAAAAGTTTTTTTTTTCTTTTTAGCAAGTGTTAGGTTATTTTTGGTATGGGTGTACAAAAATGACATAATTCTGATATCTCGCTTTCACTGATTCAGTATTGGAAGTGTATTATGCTATTAATTATTTTTTGACCAATCGAAACGGATGTAGTTTTTTTTTTTAACGTATCTCTGTTTTCTTGCACTTATTGATATATTTTGGTATACAAGAATAACTAATACTTATTATTTTAAAAACAAATCTTTTTCTTATTTTTCCTACCTAAGACCTTTTGCTCTTTCATTCAAGTTGTATTATATCATCAAAAATGTATAATATCAACATAAATTGTAGTGTATTCTAAGAATATTCTTTTTATTCCTCCTCATTTTTGGCATTTCCTTGTTTCCCCTATCCAATGAGCTGAACAAAACTAATGCAAAAGTGAATACAGTGTCATCAGTCATATCTGGATCATTCCAGGCAGATCCAACAAGGATACATCCCAAAACCTCGTAGATTCCATCATTTGTTAACGTTCATGAAAGGAGTTAATCCTGAAATTTTCAGCATGTTATCTCGTTTCAAACAGATGTTACACCACTTTGAAGATTGTGAAAAAATTAGTAAACATTGAATTTTCTTGTTTTTGGAAACCTCTCACTGAAAACAATTTTCATTTTTGGCCTTTGGAACTCATTTTTCCTTCATCACAACCATTCTCTCAGATTCAATCAATTAATCACACTCTTCTGTTGCTTATTGCAAAAATCTCACGTGAAACACACAAAATCTTCCTTTTACAGCCAAAACCCTAGATTTCGGCTGCAGACTCTACATGAAGACATTCAAACTACGTCTTCTTTCAGCATACAGTGTGTATCAAGAACTTAACAGATAAAGAATAAAACTGACCCCATCATACTGGATTTCTAATTAACAGGAGGACAAAAGAACCAAAAAAATAAAAAAGCAATTCTTTTTTTTTTCCAGTTTTAATTTAAGACTTTAATTAGAATTTGACTGACATCAGAAAAATAGGCAAAAATTATGAAAATATTAACTTGCCACTGAATTCATCAATCGAAAGGAGGGAGATTCTATATATCGAAATATCAATGGTGATAGAATTCGAATTGACATTGGAAATAACTTTTATATTAGACTAGTGTTTCTCAATCTTTTTAAGCAACGGCACACGTAGGTGGGAATGAAAATATCACGGCACACTTAGCAACATTCTTAAAGTGTATGCATTAAAATATTATGAAATAAAACCATAGATTTCAAAGAAATACAAACACTTATATGAAATTACTTTATTTCAATGTTTCTATTCAAGAATTCGTGCAGCTAATTTAGTGTGAAATCCGTGCTTGGTGTTTTTTCGTGAATTCTTCAATGTTTGGTTGAATATGTGATAAGCAGATCCTCAATTCTTCTTTAGTTGAGCGTAGTTCTTTCTTGTTTCTTATTTTTGATGTTATTTAGGGTTGAGAAGCTTAATTTACATAAATAAAAAGTAGAAAATTGCAATAAAACTGATAAAGGCTTTTTAGCTAAAGTGAAATATAAAGTTTAGTACTTATTCACTTATTCAGTTACTAACGCTTTACCATTACTACTTCCACACACACGCACGCACACACACACACATATATATATATATACACACACACATATGACAATATATATCAATTCTGAAAACTTAAAAGAATTGCATTCAATTCGAAACGAAAATAAAACGTTTATAAAAGAAGTAAATATCAATTTGGAAGATAATGAATACAAAGATAAAAAAAAAGATGAGAAAAGCGGGAAACAGTTTGCAAAGAAATGAGACAATAAGTCTGAAAAAAATAGGAATAGGGAAAATCAAAGATATATATATATATATATATATATATATATATATATATATATATAGAGAGAGAGAGAGAGAGAGAGAGAGAGACAGACAAACAGACAGACAGACAGACAAAAAATACACATATCAGTGGTTTCGTTTTGAGGATTTAAAGCAGAACTAATTGAATATATATTTAGTCACACAAGATCAAAGCTCAGTCACCCGCAATTACCAAGCAATATCTTTTTATTTTAATGGTACGCCGGTTATATCATATATATATATATATATATATATATATATATATATATATATATATATACAAGTGAGTATCAGTACGCTGATACTCACTTGGGCGATCCGTCCTGGGTAAGACGTTAAACTACATGAGCGTCCTGGGTAAGACGTTAAACTACATCCGCGTCCTGGGTAAGACGATAAACTACCTCTTAATTGCTGGTGTTCCTAGGTTCACCCTGACCCGGAGTGGTAGCACCTGTTAGGATCCCAGCTATAGGCAAATAGATAACTATTACCAGCAATACTTTTTTTGACAAAAATCATTACCAGCAATGCAAGTTTGAAGGAAAAATATAATCCAAAACTGATTTTTGACAAAACAAAATATTAGCAGCAATGAAAAATGTTGTCAGCAATAAATAAACCATTGAGGTTGATATGCCGTAAAACAAAACAAACCAATATATACTGAGATAGTTAGATAGATGAAAAATGTGATCAGCAATAAAAAACTTGTCAGTATTAAATAACTCATTGTGGTTGATATGCCGTAAAACAAAATAACCCAAACCAAACAGTCGGGCGATCATGTTATTTTTCGATTAATAACTGACTACGGAGAAGATTTTGGGTTTCTTTCTACGGTAGACTGGTTACCAACCAAGGCTACAGGTTTTAACCATAGCTGGGTGGAGAAGAGATGGATTCATATCTTTCCCAAGGATATTTGCGTGTAAGTGAATGTAACTAACTCCACCGGAATTCGAACTCGGCTCACGGAGCTCTCATTCTGGGCCGATACCCATTACACCACAGCGCACACCCGAAAATCGTACTGTTTAAAAATTACGCTTTTACGACCTGCATGTGAAAACAATAGATCATATTATAAACTGGTTGATTGTTTTTACGGCTTACCAACTCTTTTCAGGTTATTTAAAGCCAGAAAAATATTTTTATAGAGTAAGAGTTTTGGGGAGTTAATAATGATTTATTGATACAAGTCCTACTAATTAACCTATAGCTAAGGGGAGAAGTGGTGGATTAATACCTTTTCCAGCGGTTAGGGATTAACGAACCCGACTGGAATTGGAACTCGGCTCTGATGACCAATTATAAGCTGTTACATATTACACCACCCGCACATCCGAGCTTACAACACCTGGCATATCCAATCGGTCACCCATCTAGGTACTGACCAGGATCGACGTTGCTTAACTTTGGTGGTCGCACGAGAAGTTTCTGGTTGATCTGTTTTAACGTTTTTTATTTGGTATATAGCTTCGGTACGATGCCGGTCATGATTCTCCACAACTTCCTGTCTCTTGTTGCTCTAAGCAGCATTTGACTTTACCATTCATCTTTGTCTCCTATCTGCCCTTCATTTACACAAACTCATTGGATTGTTTACTCGTCATTTCCCATGTGTCCCACCGCCTTCAATACGTCCTTAGAGTGCCAAGTTTTCCAAGCCCTCTTTCCACATAACGTGCCCGAAAAATTTAAACTTTCCCTTTTTTTATTTTAAGTGTCCTTTAATTTCTATTTTCTTTAAAACGTCCTCGTTGCTCACATGAGCAATCTGTGATTTTCTCTGTAACTTTCTATAGAACCATATCTCTGTTGCTTCAAGTCTCTTCTTCATATATGAGGAAATTGTTCAGCATTTATTGCCATATAGGAAGATTGATATTATATAGAACTTCAGCACTCTTTGCTTTGTTTCTAACGAATCACCTTATATGTATTAAATATAAAGTGGTACTCAATGTCATGTATAAGTCTTTTATTTTTCCCTCTGTTCCTTAAAAAGTCTTTGTTACTCAGATATTTCTGTCCATAGTATTCTCAGCATCCTTCTGTAGAACCATATATATGTTTCCTCAAGTCTTCTCTTCATCTGTGAGGAGATTGTCCAGCATTCAATGACCAATAGAAGGACAGATATTATACAGGGTTTCAGAACTTTTCCTTGCTTCTAACGAAATGTTCACTTTTCTTATTACATTGTTTATCTTTTGGAGGACATCTGTTACCATTTCAGTGCGCCTTGGATTTTTTTTGTCTCCAGATTTAACAACAACAGAAGGAGTCATTAGCTGCAACGGAGAATTTGCACATATTACAAAATACCTACATTAAATAATTGATACCAACCAACAACTGAAGATGATAACGTCATAGTGCATTTGCATATAACATTATGGCCATTTGTTTTTACTCTATGCAACACTCCATTGTCGTCTTGACATCGGTTCCAACAAGTTGAAGTCAGTGAAAAATTTATCGAAAGAAAACAGTAATCGTTCTTTTATGATAGAATACACAAAAAAAGTTACAAAGATACCGTAAGCTCATAAAAAAACAAATAAATCCCGATAACTAAATAATGATACATTTTTTAAATTCTGTCGCTTAATACAAGGCTCGAGAGCCTCTCATGGCAGAAGTTTACTAAATAAAGTGTGATATGAAAATAAGAGGAACTAAAAGGAATTGAAAATTATGTGGATAAGGAAGATAGCGACGGATCCTTTGAATTGAAGAAGTTAAGATTTTTAATGTGCAGGTAAACATCCACATGGGTGTTTATTTCTTAAAATAGTAGTTGTTGAAAAAAACTGAGCGAAACTTCGCCCTTGCAAATTGATACGGAGGTATCTGTCTATATTTCTGAAATGTAAATAGTGATACGGAGGTATATGGGTGATTCAACTCCTTGGAAGTAGCATGGCGAGCCCTAACGATGAAGGTCTGAACTGGTCGAATGGAGCATTTGCCCTAGAAAAAGTGAGAGCAATAGGCTTGCAGCTTTGCGTTTGTGGGAAAGAGGATGTAGTGTGGAAAATATCTAATTCCCTACTAGAACGCGTAAGCAATTTTGAACCCTATCAAGGTTGGGAAGTGAGGACTGGGTGTTAACTAATAGTTTCAGTGGCAGTGTATTTTTTTAGTGGCAGTGTATTTGGTTCAGGTTTTATGTGGCTGACCTTGGGGTCAGCTGGTAGACAAAATAGGGATCTCGATTTTGATTGGCTGAGCCGAACGTGCGAATGTTAGATAGAAAGTTATTTCGTGGAGTTAAGTTTTACGCCATACACATTAGATCTGGTTATTTGTGTCTCTGGGAACTTGCTCCCTAGTGGGATTGATAGAGTGACCGTACTGGCTAATTAAAAATGTACACGTCGACGTGCTAAATAAAACAGATATGTTAAATATCCCTCTTGCTGAAGTTCACATTTTACTTCTGAACAAACTAGCAATCACCCGGCCGAGAAAAGGAAGAGAAGACAACTTTATTATGATCGCCTCAAGGCCGTCAACCAAAAGAGACCCCCAGCGCGAAGGGGTATACAACATATACGTTATTTGAAGTAGTGGCCAAGTCCTTCCCAGAAGAAAGGGGCTATACAACATGAGCCGCTCCGGCCCAAATAAAGCAGCAATATTCCATTTTTTTTATTTAATCTGACTCTTGACAGATAACGCATGACAGGAGTCATGTATTTTCTGAAGTGTTAAAAATAACCGACCTTTTTCTTTTTCAGAACGTATAGCGATGGATCGTATATATCCTATGCTAAGAATGTATATATATATATATATATATATATATATATATATATATATATATATATATATATTATAAACGCAGATTGTGTGTGTGTCTGTACGTTTATATATTGGATCGGATTTCCTACATTTTTCAACCGATTTCAACAAAACTTCACAGGACTGCGTAAAATTACCTTGCGGTGGTTCTGACAGCACCAAAAATTGGAAAAACACAATTGTTTTTGCATGAAATCAATTTGAAAACACGATAAAACACGATTCTGTCACCAGAATGAAAGGGAGACAGCTCATATCGAGTTATACTTATTATAAAACCCAGGTTGTTTGTTTGTGTGTGTGTGTTCGTTCGTTCGTTCATATATGTGATCGGATTTCCTACATTTTTCAACAGATTTCAACAAAACTTCACTTTTTTTGACAGGTACTGTTTCTTATTGTCTTGCACACTTTTTTATTTTTATATTCAGAATGCTTTAAAAATTCTATTTACAAGACAATTGTTTATAATAAAATTCTATTCAATCGATAGACTCATAACGATTGAAAACAATGTTTTTGTTTGAGTTTGACCAATTCGTAAAAAAAAAAACTAATTAAGACATGTGTGTCCGTCAACCTTAAACAATAATCTTTGTCAATTTTATTTTCAGTCTTTATGATGGTCGATACTTGATCTATCTCTTACTGTTACATCCCCGGGCAATGCCAGGCTCTACTATATATATATATATATATATATATATATATATATATATATATATATATATATATATATATTAATGCAAAAATAATGACGTAATAATGTCGTTTTGACGTATTTTTTAACGTCAAAAAACGACATTATTACGTCATTATTTTTGCACAACCTATATATATATATATATATATATATATATATATATATATATACAGCCTTTCATACCATAACCAAACAAAAGAATGCTGGAAATTTTTGCATCAGCCCAATATTTATAACTTATTTATTTTTTTAAATTGTTTCTGTTGTTATCATCATCAGTATCATCATTATCATAACGAGCGCTGCTTTTTTTCCCCGCCTGGATTCCACTTATGTGCATATCATTTGAAAACTAAAGATGACTGCCTTTTGTTTACTTCTGCCTGTTCAATATGAAGAACATTTGAAGCAATAAATAAGAATTTTATGAGGTCGGTCACTCA